TAATATTCAAACCTATCATACTGAACATTCACGATTTTCATTATCAAGTATGGCTGACTGGTGGCCATTCCGGTTCAATAGATGTACGTCACTTTGTTTCAAGATTTGACTTGTGGTCATTTTGTGTTTATTTATTTATGTACAAATATATCGAATTCATGGACATTCTGTCTGAAATTCTGAAATGACAATTGTAAATGTGTTCAACAACGTTTCTCGAAAGTGAACAGGGCAATTATTAAAACCTCGTATCGTGACCATGCATCTTGCATGCATATTCATGTTATAATTTGTTCAGTTGAAAGTTTTCATACAAGTGCTAAACGTGTTTGTAATTCTCCTTTTAGTGTTATATTTGCTCAAATTGAGCTTTCAACATAGATAGCATGATTCAACATTATTAATTTCACCATACGATTATAACACACATTCACTGTATTACAGTGAATTATAGCACATCTAACACGGATGTATGAGGTCTTACAGTCGCGGTGAAAGGGGTCACTCCTGATTTGTTCACAGATGGCGCAGTTGTTTCCCAACTAGTCCAGCCTTCGTCATACTCGATTGTCCTTTAATCTCCAACTCTCGAACCAGTATTTGAAAGTATTGCTTGCCTGCAAGCTCGAGATAGGTAACTATCATGCTGGGCTGTGGTAAAATGCTTACTGGTTACATTCGTCACGTGCCATGTCTGCTTCCAATACAAATTTGAAAAGCAATGTTGCAAATTAATATCACTGGATGCAGTTTAATGTTGTTTTTTTTCCATCTGCTGATATAAATAGACAAGAACTATTTCAAAGAATAAGCTTGTCAGGTTTGCATGTCTGCTAAACGTTGAGTTGGTTTGTAGGTTTATAAACAATTAAATGAGCTATGGTGTCATGGGAAAAATAACTCTACATAGTACAAGTCATACCCAAACCATAAAGCAAAACGGCTTGTGGTTGTGTACGCTTGTACGGTAAACTTTTTAATAAGTAGATAGTATACTGGGTGACCAGTTATTGAATGATTCCGCTGACATAATATCCGTTATAACAATATTTATATTCACATCTTGGAATGATTGATGGGCACAGGACTAAGCTCTCCCATCTTCTCATAACAAGCGACTCGCTATGGGTCAGCGAAAGGCAAGAAGCGAATCTCATAAACACCCTTGTATTAAACATGACGGATTTGAATGTCATCGAGCATTGCTAATTACGCCACGATGTGATATTAAGCTTTTAATATCAGTTGTTGCGAATGCAATTATTTTTTTACTTTGCCGCTAGATCCCCGAAAGAATCAACGGAAGTAACTCTAAGAATGAAAGTGGATATTGATTATTAAAATGAATCTGACACGAAGTATTTTCATTGAAGGCAGTGAATATGTATGTCACATGACGTCACATTAAAGCAAAGAAAACAAGCTTGACATGTAAATGCAAGACGCCAATAATTGTCCAATGTATTGTCCCGCAAAATTACGTTCAAAATTATATTCATTTGACCGTGATGTTTCATTTTAGTCGAACGTTGTGTTATCGAACAAATACTCGTATAACGTATATACTTTGAAGTACGTCACAGTATATAATTTCGCAAATGTTCCGATCAATTGCATGGTTACGTTTTTGACACTATAATTGTGTGTGTATTCTGATCTCCTGATCATAACAAATTAGACAACGTTTTTACAAAAACTAGTAATATGATAGTATTGTTCCCGCACTTCTAGAGACGTGTGCAATAACATCGTAATAATCGGTTCAACTTAACATGTTTCCAATATATGTTCATATGTGTGCATGTGAAACAAAGTAATGAATGTAACAAAGTGTATAAGGTAAATAATTAGTTTATGGTTTTCTTCGGGAAAAAACGTCGATAATTAAGTCTGAATAGAATCGGTTGTACTATTGTGGATTCCCAATTAATTTCACACTAGGCTGGAGAGGGGTTAATATTTCAAGATATCTACCAAATTGCAAACTGGGTTAGAGTATGGTCTCCATCCAATTGTTGTATATATATGGTTTCAACATTTATTTACAATCACTGAGATTTATGCTTATAATTCAACAAAAAATTATTGCTCAAATTGTAGAGCTTTTGCAGACAAAATTGACAAAAACAGACTCTGCATAGAGGCAAATAAACATATACTACTTACCGGTGGAACTATCTTCTAGGGTCTAATAATTCACTGTTCTTAATTCACGAGAATCTCTATAATGATGCAATTCAGTCACGTACTTACAAAGTGCTGATGATATCGGAATTGCAATTCAGAAGATCAAATTGACAAAAACAAAAAACAAAAACAGCGTATGTTGATGTATATTCAAATATATTGTCATTACTCGTACATATGCAAATGTTTATCAACATGATTTCTATTGTTATGGGAATGAAATTATAATGATGTAATGTAATGTTTCAAATGAAAATATCAAGAGCTCGTGATTAATGTTTTGTATGTATAGATGTTATATTTTCACTTTCACGATTTTTTTGGGACGCAGAACAGCTAGGCAGTGTAAATAAACGTAATTCATTTGAAATGGGTTTCAACGCATTCTAGTACACAACATATTATTCACCGATACTGTGAATGTATTCCAGATCTTTTGTATTAACATTATGTACATCAATGTAATTTTTTACAAGCGTGACGATGTCGGCTAGCTCTTCAAGACTCTATTTCGCGTTTTTCGTTGAAGACAAAAGGATTATTGTGTTTTAATTTCGCTGGGAAAAAAGGTAGCAAAGCTGGGTGCGAACTTGGATTTAGTCAGTGGTTACGTTCCAAACTCGGGCAACGTCTCTAATCAGGATTAGTAATAGCAGACGCGTGGGAAAGGCTAGCAATCTTCTGTCGCCTACCAACAACATTGGCCATGGTGATCGATCATGCTCTAGAAGATGTCTTCACTTCTTCTTCTTTAACAAAACGGTACTATATAACACCAAAATCGCTGCTTTCTAGGTTCACAATTAATAGGGGAGGACATTTAATGTCAACATCCATATCAATGTCATACCGGGTATACGTCCTTATGTTATTTATTCCGATTGAAATTTCGCTGATTGTGTTAGTGTTTGAGGGTCTCATTTTGAAATACAGATCTTACGAATCGATTATTTATATTCAAAGAACGTCATATTAACATTTAATTGAGCGAATTTATACACCCGTTGTAAAAATGATGATAAAGGTTCCGCTTTACATGTTAAATGTTAAAATTACGTTTGCGCAGTTCAGGAAACGCCATGTGATTAAAGTACACTTCAACTGAATTTAGGCCATGACACCGTGACCTTCGATACAATAATGCGGCAATTATGAATATTTAAATCCACATTCGAGTATGCACGAACAATGTTTCTATTTCGAAAATACATGATCGGCACATGTAGTTTGAAATGTATTTTCTATACGTGTTTTCAATGCCAACAGTGTCTATCTCACGAGTACGAGTACAATTGAATATTGAACATAAAAACTAGTGATAACGATAAAACGCTTAATAACCTCCAAGTATTGTCTATGCATTTTGCTTGTAGTTTTATTGTAAACATCAACTTGTGTGTTTTGATATGCGACTTTTCTGTTTAATGTTCTACCTGCGGTTAATTATGTAATTTCTCCTTCACTAAAATGTAATTAGTCTCCACATTTCACCCGCAAGCCACTCAAGTATTCATTATATCCTCACATGCCAATATTCAGTTTGTTTTAGTTCTCAGTTCTTCTGACATGGAGTTGACACGTGTAAGCTTTGGTAAAATAGTTATTATAAAATGACCAGTGTGAATCTAGCCATCTGATTGGCTGGAGCCAGGGTTTATATCTGGCAATATATGACTCGGGCCCTGTTTGATGAATAATTAATAAAACAAAAACTGGAATAAACTGGATTGAAATATGATAAATATTGTCGTCTGCAAGTCACTAGCCGCATTTTCAGAACATAGTAATTATGTCAGACGACGAGCCTCAGATCAATTTTGACCTCAATTTCAAATGAGACCAGCTGGATGAAATTGACGCTACTGATGAAGAACTTCTTCAAGCTACAATTGAATGGGGGCAACAGAACGCCGGCGGTAATAACGAGCCAGATCAATAGATGCCGGTGTCTGCCGAAGGGCAAATATTCCCAGAATTTTCTGAATAAATGTTCGAAAACTTGGCAGCAAAGTAAAATGAAGTGAATACTAACGCCTCTACAAAATGGGGTGTGAAATTACTCAAATGTAAGTGTGATAAAAGTCAAAATTAAAAAAATAACATATCCTAACTATAGTTTGTACCGGCGAACGCCGCCATTTTCGTTGTTTGTAAACAATGAGTTGAACGTTTGACCCCATGATGCGTTGTGTCGTCACAGGAAGCGCTGCCCCAGCACAGACCTGTGTCATATGGCGCCTTACTAGCCGATTTTGGCTAAAATAGCGCTCCACAGCCTCTTCACACTAGTGTTTATACACGGAACTTGATAAGTGGTTTTTTAATCACGTATGCTAGTGAAATATTGTTTAGTGAGTGAAATATTAATGTCATTAATAATTAAATCTTCGAAACAACAGAAACTAACACATAATAACGATAATCATTTTTTTAAGTTCGAAAGTACTTGCGTAATTTCCGTTTTCAACTAGTTCGAAAATGGAACGTCCTTGAACGCGATAAAATCACGCGTAGAACGCCTTCCGAAACAGACACTAGTAGCTTAAAATTATTGCAAATTTGCGTAATTTGGGCCCAGCTTGTTCTTACAAGTTTTCTAAGTTTCATTTATTATTATTTAGTAAAGTCCCTGAAACGATTTAATATATCCGTAAAATGCGTGGCCATCGACGATTGACTTCGAAAGGTTCGGAATTTTGAACAAACTCCCGGCACACCTTGCTTCAGATCGGTGTAGAAGACGCCGACCTGCAGCGTCAACGCCCATGATGACCCAATTTCTGTACTAAAACTATGTTGTTGTTTTTGTATAGTGTGGTGTTCTGAGCGGGAAATCGACCCAGCCTTCGAAATGGTGGAAGCTGTCAAAAATATTGAAGTATTGAAGACGGGAAAGAACACAGCATAAGAAGCTACGCTGGAATTCGAGCAGTAATCCATCGCCACATAACCAATGTACCATTCAATCGCCCCATTAACATTATCAAAGATAGGAAATTCCAAACTGCCAATAATGTATTTATAGAGAAAGTAACAAGTTTGAAGCGGGAGGGGAAAGATAAAATCCAACACAAAACAACCGACAAAACGGTTATCAGTGCGGGAGACATGAGTAAGATGTTTACCAGCGGGACACTGTCCGACCGTGACCCGGTGTCCCTTTTACGTTTGGTGTGGTTTATTTAATGTAGAGTTTTTTTCTTTTGCCGAAGGGGACGGGAGGGTCTTCGGGATTTACACAAAGAGAGTTTTGTTTTAATGAAAGATGACAGGGGATGGGATTATATCACTTTGGCCTATTTGGAAGCAACCAAAAACCACCCCGGGGATTTGAAGGATGACTTTGAATCAGAGAAACGGATGTAGAAAACAGACTTCCCACTTTGTCCTGTTACGGCCATTCTAAATTATACAAGTAAGCTTCACTCAAGCAATAATGCTTTTTTCCATCGGCTTATTAGTAATTTTACAGGAAGGGAAACTACTTGGTATACAAACGCTCCTTTGGGTCACAATACTTTGGGGGAAATGATGAAAAAAATATTAGCGGCCGCAGAGTTGAGCAGGCTGTACACTATCAACTGTGTGAGAGCAACCACTATAAAATCATTGAACGACGCTGGAATACCAACACGTATAATCATGAATTTACGTGGCCATCGGAATGAAGAGAGAATCAGGAGTTACTGTCGCGACAGTTCTAGTGAACAAAAACGTCAGTGTAGTCACTGTAGTGACATTTCAATGTCAAAAGTTAGTGTTCCTACCGTCGATGAGCGTGGTAACAATGACCTTCCGATGGCACCCAGTTCCATCGTCGTTCGGCCGTTAACATCGGGCATGGCTCAAGTACAGTGTCAGAGAAATGTCTCCACAAGTGAAACGGTATGCTCAAGCTCAGTCGCCACAGAAAATTTCGGAGGCTCTGTATATGTGTATCCTAGCAATTATATTTCTCCAAAACCAATCAACCAAATCCTCGAAAACGACAATTTGAAAAATTTCAAACCACCATGTTCAAATTTACCACTCTTAAAATTTTTTAATGTATTAATCCTCGAAATTTATAATGTCGATTCATGTTGTATATTTTTTCTGTTTTATATTTGTATAAATCTTTTCTATTTATTAACGATGTATTTTAAGTAATAAACATTTGCAATTTTATTATAATCTCTTTTATCATTTCATCTTGGAATTACATACCTGTGCGAACGTGTCTCGGAGTGATTTATATTCTCGAGGCGGACATCCGGGCATTTTCACCGCAACCATGGCAACCATCATGCTGAAAACAAAGGCCGAAAACTCTCAGAACACGGTACTTTGGGATAGTTGTTGAGACTCCCTTGAACAGTGTAACAAGAATACCCCTGCGTGTGTAACGCATATAAATTTGATTGTTCGGGTATACTTCAAAGTTGAGTTCCTGTTGTTTTCTCGAATTTTCACCGGCTCTTCGCTCGGTCTTCCGCGTTCCTCGTCAGCGCGCACAGAGCCCATAGGAATACGTGGTACATTGGTGCGCGTCTCAGCAACGTGGAACGTCTTGTGAAGTAACTCGGCCTCCGAGGATTGAAAGAGTGTATGACGAGGCCCCTGAACGTGGTTATTCATACCTCCCCCATACTTCGTTTCGGAAAGATGCTGTATTTCTATTAAATAATCAACGTTGTCATATTATAATGAGGTTATAAACGGTACGTAAAACCTCTAAATCGTACGATGTGGTCAAGTCATAGTTCAGTCCAATGGCGGATCCAGAGGGGGTGGGGT